GAATGTACAAGAACATATGTCTAGAGTATGATCGTAATTACTTCCTCATTCATAAAGCTTATAAATATATACTTTCACTGGAGCTAAATATCATAGGTCATTGAATTAGACCAATGCATGAAATAATATTGCGGATATCGTGACAAAAAGCTCGTGGATGTTTGCTATTTAAAACAATCATTATTTCAGTGCGAAATATGTCATAGCGAAATACGCTGTAGCGAAATATGCGGTAATGAACTTGAAACCAGGATTGAAATCCGACAGTTACGGCGCGATCGATAGAAATGATTAGAGTCGCTTAAATGATTCATCATTAAGATGTAAGCGAAACTTCGTGTGACATTGTGTCATTCGAGAAAACTCAAGTCATTAATAATAACAATAAAAATAATAATAGCATGCACGCGAGAACGTGTATCCGTGACCCTGCAATAAAGTGCACTTATGATACTTTGCGCAGACTTCCGCAAATGTTGCTTCATCGTTTATCTGATTACGTTACGTGGAATCTACTCACTGAAAAATAACCTGTAGTTCGTGCAGTTGAGTGCACCTCTCTCGACGGTCGTGTACGACATGTCTCGGCAAACTTTCGTGAAAACAGCGAGCTTTCTAAACACCGGTCCACCGCTTGCTATGAATCGCGACGGAATAACGAGTTTCGTCAAACCGTGGCAACGTAACACGTGCAGCGTTACCAGAAACATTTCTGCCATCTGTCGTCCTGCGCGGCGATCTGCAAGTGTCTGCAAACCACAGGAGGGTACAGAGAGAAATTTTGTTATCAATATCATTGATAAAAATATACATGACAAAGTTTATTTGATATATCAATTATATAAAGCGTAAAAAATCACGATAGACACGCACATTATATGTCATTTTATCTTTCTTTAATGTTCAAAACAAGGACAAAATGATGAACAAGTACATTATGCGCATTTTAAGTGAAGTGGAATCAAACGATCAAATATGACGATCCCCTCTGATTACACAATATACTTTTAATAAATATTTAATATAATGCTCTTACCTCCAATTTTCTCTAATTTTGTAAATTTATGTATTTTCATTAGAATATATATATTTCGAGTTCCAAAAAGGAAAATACATAGTCAAAAATATAACTAGATATCAGAGAGAAACCTTTTCCTGTTACCGTCGAAATCGCTCGTACACTACCTCCAGTACATCCATTTTCAGTTTGGGAACTACGTGACTACATACATTTTCTGACACTATCAATAAAATCGTATCGCCGAAAGTAGATATGGTTCGTCTCTGTAATACATCCTCAAGAACAAAAGCGTGCTGATTATCCATAGGAGAGATAGTTATAATGAGTCCTTGAACGAAAAAATGTTAATTTCGCATCTGCTATATATGTAAATAAAAGTTGTTGAATTTTAATAAACGAAACTGAAACTTCAAATAAGTTAATTTAGCGAACTTTGTTTTATATATCATATTTATCTTATAATATCTTATAAAATTACAAAGTTATGTATATCTTCTATGCAAATTTTGAGCCAGTATTTATCATATAATTATTAGTATAAGTCTTTATAATTATTAGCAATTATAAAGATATACATACTTTTAATAAATTCAATCTCTTCTAAACATATATTGTCAATTTAAGGTATAATTTAGCAAAAGCGAGCTATAGAGGCCCTCCACCACCCCCGTTAATTTCGTCAACGGTCTTCTTTTCTTTGTAAGTATATTCACTTATAAAACAAACAAGCTATCAATAAATTTAGTAGCCCGTTTTTACAGGTAAATATATCTTTAAATTATTTTTTTATTTTTATATCTAATTATTTTATTGTATTTTTTTAATGAAATTACAATAACTATACAAATATTATTCTTTACTGTATTATCCTTTATACAATTCGATATTATAATAATTATTTACAATACAATGTACAATTATCAATATTGTTCAAAATATAATAAAAGTGATAATACAGGAACATAATTAATAAATTTTTGTAATGCGGGATTATACGAAAACGTCGAAAATACATACGATAACATAAATTTTTCTAAACCAATATTTAATGAAATATTGATAAATGCAAAAGAAATACTAACAATAATTAGATTGTATTTACTATTAATTATTTACTATTACTTAAATATTTACTATTAATTTAATATATTTATAACAGCACTTTCTCATCGCGTTCAAGATAACTATCTCAATAATTTCATCATATCAAAATCCCTCCGCCTCATGGTACACTGTTTAGTATCCGATATAAAAAAAGAACAATCTTCATAGTGGAAAGTGAACTTAATGTATTCTGATTCTACACAAATTTTACAAGATCCATTTGCAAAGAATACCAGTGATCTTATTATAGGATTGCGGTGTGAATCTCGAATCTTTCAGACTACTTAGCGATAATAATTTTGGTAGCATGTCAATTACAATTACCATTTTTATCACATCTTTAATATAATATTAAAATTCGCGAGAAAATATGTTCTGTCACGTGATAAAAACCATCTCTTATTAAAAATAAATGGATAGAATGATTTTCTTATACAATAGTGGTTACGAAGGAATATATTTAATAATAATAAAATACATACGTTATTGTAATATAATACGTTTTTTATATGGATACAAAAGTTTCTCAGGTATCAACTGTTCGAGATGAGCCGAACCCAATAATAACGGAATTTTAAAGAATATTTAAAAATATTATATAAAATTTAAGAATTCTTTATTCTTCAAAAATTACATTTATTAATATCCCGTTAATATGAGGGTACCCATTCGACTTATCTTGAATTTTTTGTACCCACACATTTAAAATTCAACTCATGCAATCACGATAATATTGTTAACTATAAAGAATTTTGAAAAAAGTTATATAAATATCGACAAAAATCAATATTCATTAAATATAATTTCATAATATCTGCATGTATTTTATCATAGAAAAGTGCATGTATTTTATTATAAAAAAGTATATATACATATAAATCAATAATTAAAAATATTCTGCAATGACGGGATATCCAATACCTAAAAATGATTTTAAAATAATAGTTAGAAAATTAAATATACACATTCGTTGGCACGGAGCGACGCGTTATGTTTACGTTTACGCGTAAGTTATTCTCTTACCAAGCTTCGTACAAGCAGGTAGTCGTGTCGCGTGCGGCTCTTTTTTACATTATTTTTTTAAAATTTTATCGCGAAGAATGCCAAATATAATACGAAACGTTGTACTTTATGAATAATTAATCATATTAATAATCGTATTATGTGAATATTCATAAAATACAACATTTCGTATTATATCTAGTATTTTCTGCGATTATTATATGTTTTAAAAAGAAGAATGGCACGCGACACGGCTACTTGTCTGTACGAACGGTATTACACAAGTTTTATTTGACAATAATTTAAAAATGATTATTTTTAATCATTGTTAAATAAAATGATTTGAATAATTGTACATTTTATAAAATAATTATATAAAATGATTCTATGAAATAATTATGAAATAATAATTCTTTAAAGTAATTATATATATATATATATATATATATATATAAAATAATTATATTGTATATATTTTTTTTTAATTTTAGCAAAAATAAATTTATATAAAATATATAAAAATTTGTATAAAATATTAAAGTAATTTTTAAATAACTCTCTTTTTATCTAGTTTGGATAAAAGGAGAGTTACTTAAAATTTAGTTAAAATAATTATATATATTCTCTAAAGATCTTAGTAAAAATAAATTTGTATAAAATTTTAAAATAATGTTTAAGTAACTCTCCTTTTATCTAAATTAGATAATACAATATAGAATAATATTTAAAAAGTTATTGCAATTTTATTAGCGAAATACAATAAAATAATTAGATATAAAAATAGAAAAATAAATTAAAGATATACTACTTGCAAAAACGAACTACTAAATTTATTAATAATTCATTTGTTTTATGGATATATATACTTACAAAGAAAAGAGGACCGCCGATAAAATCGGCATGAGTAGTAAAGGATCTCTATAGTTCGTTTTTGCTAAATTATACTTTAAATTGACAATATATTGTACAATATGTTTAGAAGAGATTGAATTTATTAAAAATCTCTATAATTGATAGTAATTATAGAGACTTTAATACATACTAGTAATTATAGTTGGCACGCTTCTGTCCTAAGGATTTAGAACAGAAACGAACCACATTTTATTACTTTCGATGATTTTATATCTATATTATCGATAGTGTAAGAAAATGTATGTAGTCACATAGTTCCCAAACTGAAAATGGATGTACGAGCGATTTTGATTGTAATAGAAAAAAGGGCGGTATGACTTCTGTTAAGTTTCTTTCTGGAGATACTAAACATTCATACTATGCTTTTTTAGCAACTAACATTGCTAATCTTCTAGCTAAAATACCAGTAATTGAGAAAATGTTATAAATTATGTATTTCTTTAGCTGCTATAGTTTCAAAAAAAAAATTTATAATTGTATAAATCAAGCTATATAACGATACTTTATCGACAATCGGGAGAGGCATTAGATCGATTGTTGCATTCAAATAATAATTAATATGGATTCAACGGTTAATATGATATATCAGTAAAAGCTTGCGCTCTTTAATTATCCCTGGTGTTCCCAGTTTAGAACATTGATTAAAATTTTAAATTTTTTATCTCTTGAATATGAATAATAAACACAATTTCACAAAAATGGTCACGTTGTAAAGTATATATGTTTTTACAAACATTTTTCATTACAATTTAAAGATATAATTTCTTAAACTAACAATTTTAGAATGATATTCGTAGACGGACTAATGGCGAATGTTTTTCAAATGGCATTTAGTTACCACCAGAAAAATCGATATATACTGATCTATAATATAAAATATATTTTTCTAATTGCATACAAAACTGAATTTTATAATTTTAAATACATTTAATCATTTTTAGAATTGATCCGACTTGTTTTGCCAAATTGAAGCGATGACTGGAGTCGCGATTACAAAATTATGTAATAGAATCGTGCAATAACGCTAGTTGTTTATTTGCATCATTTGCGAGAACTTACGACCTTCACGACGAATCGTTATCGCTAATTCGCTATCGTTATATTCGTGGCACATAAATTAGAAGAATTGCACTCCTTGCACTCAACCAACTCGTACATGAGTCAGTTATTGAATCGTATTTCCGTCAACGGACGCTCATTGACGTTCGGTTGTTTTGTACGAAGATTTCATACATCATCACAAAAAATGGTTATTGCTGTAAGTATTCTTTGTTGTATTCATTTTAGTAATGATTCATCAATTATCTTCCCTAATTGTACTTTAAGAGCCTTTTTTGTAATTCGTCATAATTGGGTGCTTTCCAGCAAGGACACAGTCAGACACAGAGAATCGTTTCAGGATGTAATGATTCACTGTATTACACTGTCTGATTGTGTTCTTGCTGGAAATCATACACAATATAAATCCAGTTGTAAAATCATTCATTACAACTAATAAAACTTACAGAATGTGATCGATTTTAGACACTGCAGTGTTTGAATAGTTTTTAATTAAAAAAAAAATAAATAAATTATTAAAGCAAATTTATGCTAAAGCAAACAATATATAATTGCAATTAACATTTATGTGATGTGTATATTTATTTTTTAAGACTGCTAATCGCTGATCAAATTTGTTATAATATTATTATATTGTTTAATTGAATACATATCTTATCAAATATGATATTGTATCTAATGAATATTTATAATTTTTTTATTAAAAGACTAATCATCAATTATCAATGTTTTTTCAAGGTTGGAGACAAATTACCCAGCGTGGATCTTTTTGAGAACACGCCAGCAGACAAGGTGAACCTGGCACAAATTACAGCTCAGAAGAAAATCGTAGTGTTTGGTGTACCAGGTGCATTTACTCCTGGTTGCTCAAAAGTAAAGAAAAAAAACTTATTCTTTTCTAATTCAAATAATTGTTTAAATTTTTAACAACAATTCTATCTTAATAAAATTAGGAACTTTTCATTTATATATAGTTTTGAAAATTTTAATTTTCGTATTAATGCAATATCTTTCATTTGAATTTTCCCTGTATAAGGTAGAGAAGAGCTATTCTGTGCTGGTATATCTTCAGTTACTATATATCTTCAAAAGTATATCTTCAAAAACTTCAACCACAATAGCAGGCAATATCACTTTGCAGTGACATGTTTACAACTGTATAAACATGGCTGTTTCTTGAAAATACAAACATGACTTTCAAATGTTTAATACATATTGTTCAGAAACATGAATATTATCACTGATAGGAATAGTTCTATGAACGATAAAGCTTTACCCTAACAAAAAATTAATTTATCTTAAACTTAATTTAGTAAATTCTTATACAATTTTATATATACTTATATTTAGCAACTATATTTAGCAATTTAGAATAATAAGTTTTTGTTTGATAAATTATATTATAAATATAATTAATTTAATTATCAATATTGATTTTCAGACTCATTTGCCTGGTTACATTGTAAAGGCGGATGAATTTAAATCCAAAGGAATTTCTGAGATATTTTGTATCAGTGTTAATGATCCATTTGTTATGGCAGCCTGGGGAAAAGAACATGGTGCAACAGGAAAAGTAAATATTCATTTAATTATTAAATTAAAAAAATTAAATCTTTTACATCATGATTGTTATATAAATTTAAATTTACTTTGTCTATTATAATTATTTTCTTAAAAAGTCGTTTCTATTCTTAGATACGAATGCTAGCTGACCCTAAAGCAGAGTTTACAGATGCTATGGATCTTGCTGTGGATTTGTCAGTCTTAGGAGGCAAACGCAGCAAACGTTATTCTATGGTGGTTGAAAATGGAATTGTAAAGGAGATCAATATTGAACCAGATAACACTGGTCTATCTTGCTCCCTAGCGGATCGTATTAAAGTTTAAAATAGTTTAAAACGCTATTTTAATCATCAATTTTAGAATGTATAGACAGAACTTTTTACAAGAGGAAACTGAGATTAGCATTAAGGAGAAAACTGCAAGTACTTCGGCAACTATTTCAGCAGTGTTCTTAACGTTTTTCTCATATAAATATAGAAGTCTATGTTTTTGCAACACTGACATAAAAACAGGATGCTTTCTATTTAATGTCTCAAGTCGACACAAACATTCTATCTTTCTTGACATTCCAGAGTAACAAAGATAGAACATGTTGATTTGTGTCAAATGGAACGCATCCCAATTGAGACCTGAATGATTCAGAATCAAACTAACTGAACCGATATGTCTGTAATTTTCTCTTTTTGCTAATTATAAGTGCTTTCCATTTAGTGATACAAGTCAACACAACTATCGTTCTGTCTTTATTATTCATGGAATGGGAAAAAAATAGAATATTTGGATTGTATCATTAAATAGAAAGCATCCCTTAATACCCTCTTGCTCTAATTGATACTATGTGTGTTTATGTATATATATTCTAAAGCTGTTGATTTTAACATTTTTTGTTTTCATATTATATTTTTCAACGTGTGTATTGTTAACATGTAGCATTTTATTTCTCAATTTTAGCGATTTCGCTTTTAAAATGAAGAAATTCTTGTGATATGTTGCTTTTAGTTGTTAAATCTTTGTATGTTAAATAGAAATATTACTAAAAAAAGTTGAAATTAATGTTTTTTTTGGATCGTGATATGTATATGGGAAATAAAAATAATTCCTTAAATGATATTTCAAAGCACATTTGAGTGATCCTCCTAAATCTTTAAATATGTTTTAAGAATTCTGATTGATTCTTTGCTACGAAAAATCAGATATATTTTATCAGATACTCGTACTAATGTATCTTGTATAATTTTACATACGAGTTCAATTTTTGAATGATCTGCAGGCTGGTGTAACAAATTAATGGTTGTCAGGCTGCATTCAACAGAACTCATTTTATAACTATTGGAACTTTTCTTCGCGCTGATTCTTTTTTTTTAGAGGAATAAACCTATCTTTGTAGACAATCATAAAACTGTTGCAAAACTATTGTGTTCTGTTGAACACAGCCATTGTATAGCACACTTCATGTTTGATTGCAACGGAGAACATATCTACACATCCTATATAAGAAATTTCAGGAGCTTTTTTATGCTTGATTTTTCAATTATCATTAAGGCTTAAACATAATAGGCAACAGGGACTTAAAAAAAAAAGAACTTAAATAAAGGACTTTGATTAGTTCATCTTCTTATGCCTCATGTGTTATGCATTATGCAAGAGTCTGTGCTGCCTGCTTAAATCACTGAACTATACAGGGTCAACTAGAGTCATTGAAGTTTTTTACCTTATGAGAAAATTATCGATTATACTCACGATATAATCCAATAAATATGAAGTCGATAATTTTCTCATAGGGTAAAAAGTTGGTTCAACGACTCTGATTCACCTTATATATACATATTGGAATGGACATCTTCGCTGTAAAGCATAAGCGGGGAGCATAGACTCTTAAATAATGCATAATACATGAGGCATAAGAAAATGAACCAAAAGTGTTTTATTTCCTTTCTTTCCATGAAATAAAGGACTCTGATTGGTCTTTTCTTATATCTCATGTTTTATGCGTTATATAAAAGTGTGCTCTCCGCTATAGAAAATCGTGGCATCAAGTGATCAGCGCCATTTTAATTTAGTTAATAAGAGCAAATCAGAAGCTTTCAGGTGCTCATGCGGCACTTACGTTTAGTGTTCTTTAATAAGGCTGTGGTCAAAGTTTCGCTATAAATGTTTTGAAGCGTTTGATGGACCAATTAGAAGAAAGAAACTGACCAATTAAAAAACGACCAATTTTACAAACTGACCAATTAAAAAACGCTTCGAATTGTTTACAACATCGCGTTGACCAAATGGCTCCCTAATGGTATCCTCTTGCACTGGACACGGAAACGCTTGTCGCGTTGCAAAATGAGACGCGGTAACCAATGAACACATTAGGAGCTGTAAGCTTATTGGCTACCGCATCACATTTTGTCACGTGGCAAGCATTTCTGCGTCCAGTGAGTGTGTAGAAGCCATAAAGTTCTACATTAGTTGCAAACCTATCGCAAATTTGTTGCGACAGCCAATATGAAGCGTTGATTTCAAAATGCAAGCTTCAGATTGGCTATCATGACAAATTGCGATCGGCTTGCAACTAATATAGAACCGACTTAAACATGTATGTCAACAAGATCATCGTGTAGGAGGTTATATTTGAAAGATGAAAGATTATAAAATCGCGTGACTGTCTACAAAGTATCAATATGAGATGCTGTGTGCCTGGATGTGGGCAGAGAAGTAAAAAGGGCATTTCATTTCATAGGTAAGAATTCTCATATTAAATATATTTATAAATATATTTATAAACATATTTATAAATTCCTGCATATGTGTTAACGATATAGAATATGAAGTGTTATTAAAGTTATTTTATTGAAGGTAATAAAATTGAAGTGACATTTTTGTTTATATACCATTCATGTTCATATAGATTTCCATTGAGAGACCAAAATCGATTTCAATTGTGGATTGATCAAATACATGCGTATTTGGAAAAACATAACTGTGAACATGAAAGATTAAAACAGAATACAAAATCTGTTTTGTGTTCAAACCATTTTCTTAACAGTGACTATATTATTACAGTAAGCTGCCGTATATTAAAAGATTCAGCGTATCCTTCAGTCTTTTCAGTAAGTTGTATAAAATAGCAATAGAGTAACATGAGTAGATTGTAGGCACAACCTTGATTTCATTTGAAAAAAAAGTAACTCGAAATCTAATAATTCGTGGAATTGACAGATACGGGATAGTGTAAATGTTAGTTTCAGTTTTAAAACCATTTTCAATTACACAACTTGCAAGATATTAAAGCAGCATTTTTATGTATTACAGTGTGATCCTCAAAGAAAAAAAAAGCGTAAATTAAGCTCTAAAATACCTGCACCTCGATTGCGCTACATTCTTCCAAAAATGGAGATTGTTGAACTGGAATGTACAAAAGTAATGGCTACAGAATGCAACAAAGAAAACAAAGACACAAGTTGAATATAGAATGAAAAACATGCATTATCCTATGGTGCAAATTTCTTAAAACAATTACAAATTTTAAAAATACTAAAAAAAAATTTTTAATACGATTATAATGAAATAATAATTTGCATTATTATGAAGTAATTGTATTAAAAATTGTGTATTTTTTGTATTTTAAAATTTGAAATTAAATTATTAATTAAAAAAAAACAAAACACTTATCAATTTTATTATTTTAATATTATTGTTAATTATTTTATTAATAATATAATTGTATAAAAAAGAGTTTACTTTGTAATATACGTAACATCATTCATACTTATTAATAATTATTAGTTTATTCTTTGTAGAATATCTCATGTATTCAAAATTCTATACTTGAAGAACCGGTGATTAAAGAAGCAAGAATAGAGGAGCCAATGATAAAAAAGAGTACAGTCGAGGAATTGATGCTAGATAAAAATACGATCAAGGAACCGATCGTCGAAATCACACTAGAATCATTCCTCAAAAATTTAAATAAGGTAAAGTCATTTTATGGTTTTTGTCATTTTTGTAGTTTTCCTGCAAGTACGGTTATTTATTTATTGATTTAGTATTTCAATATATTTGAACGAATGTTCGGCTCAGCGTTACAAATAACTCGAAGATCAAATTTGTTGAAAAATCGTTTCAATAATTAATGAATTTCATTAAAAAATATACATTTTCTATTTATTCAATTAACATTAAATTTGACTCCCGAGTGTTCTTTGTAATCCTGATAACAAATAACAATTGAAAGAAAAAAATTTAAAATAAAAAATGGCAGATTTAAGTTTCAAAATGTGATTTGTTTATATTTTCAATTTGTCTAATAAATAATAATATTGTACAATTTTAATTATTGTCAACTTTTTATTCCGCGATTTTATTATTTCTTGCAACTATCGGAGTTATGAAGATGTATTTCCGTTTTGTAGAATAAATTCACTGGATGTTTATCATTAATAGAAGAAGTGCTGAAGTTACAGGAAAAGATAGCTGTTCTGGAAAAACTATTATTTGAGCTGAAATCCTGCAATAGAAGTATCATTTGCGAAAATGATCACTGTTATGCAAGCACTCCACGAAGCTTGCAACGAAAGTTACATTTTTCGCAAGCTAAGGTAATTATGATGAAAAAACAAAAGCGTAATACAATAAAGAAACTTCGTCGATCGACGATGAAAGTGTTGCAGTTACAAAATTTGATGAAGTCTATGAGGAAAAAAGATCGCTAGACCTGCGAAAGCATAGTTCATGTATTTGATGAATTAATAAGTCACAAAATCCACTTAAAATACCTCCTTACATACAAAATGTCATAAGATCATCTCGAGTTATATTTTAATACAATCCGAGCTAAAGGACGATGCGTTAATCCTACATCTCGCCACCTATCTTCGGCTTATAAACGTTTGCTAGTGAGGTATCAAGTAAGGCCGGAATCAGATTATGCATTGAAGATTAAAAATTGAAATTTCACCAATGAGGACAAAGAAATTTTGAGTCCTTTTGTTCTAATTGATCAAACTTCAATCTTTCAATCTTCAATCTCATTCTTCAATACATAGTCTGATTCAGGTTTAAAGACTTCAAATGACAATCTGACTACTATGGAGCAAATTACAATCCTCTTTGCAACTCGGAATTCTATTACTTAGTATCGAAACACCAGGCATTACATAGCGTAATGTGATACCTTAACATATGCTTTGTCTCGTGCTTATGCTATTGATGACGGAACTTCTGCTTATAACTCTACCGATACCTCTACTGACATCTCTACCAACGAAGAAACAGAATGCTCAGATAATTTGGACGCTCTGCCTTCGAATAGTAATGAAGAACAAGACGAAGAATAGATGGAGTTAAAATCGGAAATGACTCCAAATTATTTTAAGTTATCCCAATTTGCCGAAAATGCAGTTGCATTAAGATTACGTCATGCGAATAGTGATTAAAAGAATTCATTGCATATCTTGTTGCTCTGTTCTCTGCAATGGCAACTCCAATGACAATAGGCTTAAGTTAATTCTTCAAAAATCGAATGGCGGTCTTATATTTCCTTCTCTCGAAGTTATAACAATTTGCAGTTTGAGAGAAAGATGTTTCGAAGAACTATCCATGAGTTGCCTATGAACACACCAAGATTTAATCACATCATAGCAAATGCAGTATTTGCCAATTTAATCACGAACAATTTGTTTCCATAATTACATAATCACATGTTTGATATATCAAAAAAGGAAAATCACATACATAATCTAACAAAGTAATACCTTTGTGTTATATTAGGATAAAAATGTTTCATGAAAGCAAAAAGATTACGGAAGTGCAAACATCGGAAAACGAAAGAAACTATCGCGACTTATCATTTTCTTAAATGTATAAATAAGCGTATAAATAAACATATATTTACCGAACATATATATATATACTTTTCACATTTTGTAATATTTAAAATTAATAGCGTTTTCCACTGACAAAACTGGTGCAGCATTAGCGCCAAAGTGAAAATTACAAAAAATAAGCAAATTTACTAGATGTTGACCAATGAAATTATTAGTATTCTAGTAAACTCGCTCACTTTTGTAATTTTTACCTCGTTTCAAGATACAGAATCGATCCCCTAGTATTTAATGTTCCATTGATAAAACTGGTGCAAAACTTGCACTGAGTTCAACTTTTGCTCCACTGTCTTCGAAGTCAATGGAGATCAGTGCAAGTTAAAATTGAAATTGAGTTCGTGCTAAGATATGATATTATGTTATGATATAATATTAGTAATATTAGTTTTCAGTGGACAACACAATTACACTCAGTGCACCAGTGTTGCACAAGTTTGCCCAGTGGAAAACGCTATAATGACTTTTGCACGCGAAAACGCTTGTCACGCGGCAAATGTTTCCGCGTCCAGTGTGCAGGAGCCATAATGCTGATTGGTTGTTTCCTTCGCATTCTCTATTCAGTCCTTTTTCGCACTGTGTGATTTCACTCGTAGTAAATCGTATACGCTATCTATTTCAATATAATGACTTTATGTCAGACCAATCAACGTGGCACGCATGACAGTAAACTAGCCAATCCCGCCCAATCGTGAATTAGCGATCGCGATTGTGCGAGTCGTGCTTTTCCGATCTGTCAAACCATGTGTCAGACTATCACCATTGTTACATAGTTTACGGCGAAGAGAGAGAAAGGATTCGCGGCGGCACTTGGGTTTGCGTTGCACTTGTATGATCTTTTACGCTTGATTCCTGATCAGGAGATTCGAATCTGCCCTCACAGCCGTAAGTACAAAGTGCGATTGTTATTACATTGATAGTTGATTCCCGATCGACGGTTCAGGATCGTCAAAATCGTGATCGCAGTGCGTTGACATTCCGAGGGATCGAGAGAATTCCAGGCCAATGTCAATCTGCGTTGGCCGTGCGCGTGCCAAAATGTCCCAAGCGGCTGATCGCGCGCCAGCGGAGATCGATGATGGTCTTGTATCGTCTATCGTCTCTCAAACGTACAGTGACGATGCGTAATCGACGTATCCGAAGGCGATACATCCACTCTTCCTCTTGGCAGCATCCCCGCCCCAACGATCGTGTCGTCGATTAACTCCTAACCCTCATGCGGAATCCATTGTCAGATGAACATTGCGGCGACCAACGACATCGATGATGGCAACACGATCATTGTCTGCTTTTCTTTTTTTTTCTCTTTCGAGATAGTTTCCTCCAACGGGTTTCGTTTGGAACCTCGTCATTTTCGCCGCTTCGTATTTTTGTTCACATCGTATGACGAATCAGTGTATCTATATATGTGTACATCTATGAGTGCACGCGTGCATATTTGAAGATATTTTTAAACGAGAAAGAGAGAGCGAAATTATCTTTCTTTTTTGCTCAAACATTTCTTGAGTATTGTTCATATTTCATGTAAATAATTCTTAGATTAGTGTGAGTGAATACATACAAATCTTTTTTTTTTGCTAAGACAATAAAGTATTAATATACATGATACACAATTACAGGAAACTATTTTTAACATCCTTAAATAATGGAAACATACTGATTAAGAAGTAAAACTGTCATAATTTTAATTTATTTTTGAGAGCAGAATTAAAAATAATATTAAAGCAATATTCTTGAAAAATTTGTATGTTTCAGAAATATATATAGATTGACTATATTCTGTTTTATGCTTACAACACTTGTAAACATCATTTATCCTTGTTTAATATTTGATAGACAATATGAATATACTAATACTTATAGCGTGTATGAGCATGAAAATAGCACACACCTATATTATTTTTAAAAGTATTTTCAAAAAAACATATACGTTCCAGAAATTTCTAACATGCGTCTTTCTTTTATGCTTCTCTTGATATTATGTTTGAAAATTATAACCGTAAAATAAAAAACCTGTAACTTCAAAATTATTTACATAAAATTTTTTTAATTATTTATACATAATATAATTTTTTCTGAAAACAAAAATTTCATTTATTAGTTATAATTAAAATAAAATGTTAAGTAATAATTTAAAACAGTGCACATAGAAACATAGTTTTGAGCCATGTCAATGATAAAATAATAAATAATAACTTAAAAATATAGTTATAATGTTTATCATGATATGGTGAAATTTTCCAAAATTTGTCAATTTTGATCCTCCGATATATAAAAATATGTTTTGTCTGCAATAAAATTTAATGTATATAAATTTAATATATTAGATTATTGTAAATTTGCAGTATTGAAGATTATGATTATATTATTTTATTATATTAATTTGTGAATTTTTTATTATGACTTCCTTGCGCTATTTTTAAGTTTATTCAAGAAAAACTTCTATATAACTAAAATATAATATTAAAATATAATATATGAAATATAATAATGTAAAAGATGTATAATTTTTATTTGTATTTTCAGATGTCAACTGGACCTACACATAAACATCGTTACAAAAATGTAGGATTAGATTCACAAGAACTGCGAAGACGCAGAGAGGAAGAGGGAGTCCAATTAAGAAAACAGAAACGTGAGCAGCAATTATCAAAACGTCGCAATGTTCCAAACATTGTTGCAGATGAAGATAATGTTACATCTACAGATGAATATTCACTTCCTATTGGTACAGCACAATCGGTAATATAATTATATTTTTTACTGTTTTTATGTATAATTTGTTTCATAATAATTTTTCTTTTTACAAAATTTATATTTTAACAGTCTCCTGGTATTATAACATCTGAAATGGTAGATGCATTATATAGTCCTAACATAAAAGATCAATTGGCAGCAACGCAGAAATTTAGAAAATTATTATCAAGAGAGCCAAATCCCCCTATAGATGAGGTGATACAAACAGGAATCGTACCACAATTTGTTGAATTTCTTAAAAATAATACAAATTGCACTCTGCAGGTTGGTATATGGAAATATGACAGTAAATGTTCTCTTTTGTTGTGTATCAAAGATACATATAAATGATAATATTAATTGTTAGTTTGAAGCAGCATGGGCTCTGACAAATATAGCAAGTGGTACATCTCAGCAAACACGTATTGTGATAGATGCAGGAGCTGTTCCTACTTTCATATCTTTACTTGGTTCTGAATATGAAGATGTGCAGGAACAAGCTGTTTGGGCATTGGGTAATATTGCAGGCGATAGTCCCGAATGCAGAGATCATGTCTTAGCCAATGGTATCCTCACACCACTTCTGCAGTACGTTTCTTTACATTTTTTATGTGAATTATTATAGTTTATCATTATTATAAGAAAAATGAAAGATTCTTACATGTCGCACAATAATATTCTTATATACATACAATAATATAAAACTAATATTGCACTATTTTTATAGACTGCTATCAAAGGCAACACGACTTTCTATGACCCGCAATGCGGTATGGGCATTATCAAATCTCTGTCGAGGAAAAAATCCAGCACCAGTTTTTGCAAAGGTTACACCATGTTTACCAGTGTTGGCACATCTTCTCAATCATACTGACTATGATGTACTCGCTGATGCTTGTTGGGCTCTTTCTTACTTGAGCGATGGCCCAAATGATAAAATACAAGCTGTTATTAATGCTGGTGTTTGCAGACGTCTCGTAGAACTTCTCATGTATGTTTAAATTTATATTTATTATGCATAAAGATTAATTTTATGTGGATTATATAACAATTGATGAAAATTTTTCAGGCATGAACAAAATAATGTAACAAGTGCGGCTCTTCGTGCTGTAGGAAATATAGTTACTGGAGATGATGTGCAAACGCAAGTTGTATTAAATTGCTCGGCATTACATTGTCTATTACATCTCTTAAGTTCGCCACGGGAAAGTGTTCGTAAAGAGGCTTGTTGGACAGTCTCTAATATCACTGCCGGTAATCCCCAACAAATACAAGTATGTTTCAATCTTTAAACATAATATAAAATATAACTTTGTTTATATATCTCGTATATCAATAATTAATATACAACATTGATTTCTATTTTTTAGGCGGTGATTGATGGTAATATCTTTCCGGTTTTAATTGAAATTTTGAGTAAAGCTGAATTTAAAACACGTAAAGAAGCTGCATGGGCAATTACAAATGCTACTAGTGGTGGAACAGCCGAACAAATTCGATATCTCGCAGTGCAAGGATGTATTCCGCCGCTTTGCGATTTGCTTACTGTTATGGATGTCAAGATTGTTCAGGTCGCTCTGAATGGTATAGAAAATATTCTACGCCTGGGAGAACAAGATGCAACTATGCATAATGGTCTCAATCCTTATGCAGTTCTTATCGAAGAATGTTATGGTAAAATATCAATTTGATAGATTTTCTATGAAAAATGTGTCGTCAATGAATATTTAATTTATTAAATCAATTTTTTTTTAAATAATATTTCAGGCCTAGATAAGATAGAATTCTTGCAATCGCACCAAAATATGGATATTTATCAAAAGGCCTTTGATATTATCGAACGATTCTTTGGGTCTGAGGAAGAAGATACCCGACTTGTACCTTCAATCGATTCACAAGGACAAGAATATCAGTTCACCGCACCAGATTCTTCCCAACTACCAGTGCAAGGCTTTGAATTCTAATCATGTCTTTAAATTTCTGAATATAACTCTGTTTCATTAAACGTTAACGTTATTCGTTCTACAGGGATTTATAATATTCTAAAAATTAGTAGGGGAGATCGCACGCCGAGCTATCTGTTGAGAGGTAGGTGCACAGTACTGCTATCTCGGATGTTAAGCGGTAAATATCCTTTTAATTTAAAAAGTAGCTGAAAAAACTAAGTAACATGAAAACAAAAATTTCTGAAATTACATGTTTTTTCAACTACTCGTTAGAATGATAGACATCTGTCTCTTAACATCTGATCTGAGATAATACTGTGGACACATGGTCTTCCCTACATCAATAGGAAATTTGATTTTACATATTCATTCACTGAGCTTGAGTGTATTTGTGTCAGAAGTATAACATAATTGAAACTGATCTATTCTTCTTTTATTTGAATTAAAAGCAGTAAAAACTCTTCATACACTTTCAATTGATTTTTTCTTTTTTTTTTTTATTATTTAAAATGAACCATAACTTACTCTATGTTACGATCTGAAATTGTTTTCGAATCTACGTCAAATTACGACAATGTCTGTGTTTAGAGCCTTGAAACAATTTGTGTAGGAACACTTACAGACTCATACCTGCATGTATTTAGTATGAGACGTTTAGTTTTTGAAACAAACGTCTTAGTGCTTAAGTAGAAGTGGAGACAGTGATCAGAATTTGTCGAGGCAAACTCACACCTCGTCCGACATGTGACTGACGCAGAATTACGAAAAAAAAACTTGCACTACCCTGCAAGACACTAACTGAATGACTGAAGTACGCGACTACGTAGCCAACACGGACAACATTACGCAACGCGGTACTCACCTCCTTACTATACTAGATAGAAACATGACCAATTAAACTTTTTTACTGTAAATACGTATCTCGTAATTTTAAGGCTATTCTATACAGAGTGCCCTCAAGAAGTGAAGCAATAGTTTTATTTGGCCATCAATACAAAACAGTTTGCGAGAATTTAGATATTTGTAATTTGTGATAGATATGATTTGTACTGAGATACGTGCAAAGTATGCTTTGGTTTTCTTATGTTAAATAATCGTGCGGAATGCCGCCTCCAATTATTATATACTTATACTTTTGTTAATCTAGTGTCATACAATCAATTATTAGTTCTTAATTATAAATATTTGCAAATGTATTAAATAAAGATTTTTTATCTTATGTTTTTCATAATTGAATTTTTAAATTATCGCAGAGATATTTTTCAACCCTTTATTTGCCTATAATGAAAATGAATAGTATTGAAATTGTACAGCACATAATCAGATTTTGGACATTCTGTATGAAAAGTCTATGACTGTATATATAAAATGTATTTATTATTTAGGTTGTTACCGATTTGTGAATTATTACGACGGAGAACGACTGTACTACAACTCATTAGTTGAAACTTTGCTAATATTACTTTAGCAAAGTATATAGCTATGGGTGCTTGTTGCCAATTTATAATATATTTATCGAATAATATTACATAAATATAGAAAATTGGATTTGTCGAGTTGATTATGCGCTATGCACGTTATTTTTATATAAAATTTCGGAATGAATTATTTTATATATATATATATGACAACTATCAATCCTGAAAACGGATTGGTCTAAATCAGTGTTTTTTAATCGGTATAATCAACAATCTTTAAATACAAAATTTTTACCAAAAAATAAAATATATTCTATAATTTAATTAAAATAGATTTTGTTTAATCAATATTAAAACAAATATTACTATTACTTTTATTTCATACGTAAATAGCATGAACATGTATTTATAAATTTTTACGAATTTTTTTTGCTTATTAAAATATTCATTATTGAAAGATTGAAAAGCACTTGTCTAAATCATGAATATTTTTTCCAATGATCTGTAATGCAATGTTAGAAAATTTATTAAAATAGAAATAAAGCTGTATAAATAGATATTGTATATTAAAGCTTTAGTTAAGCTTAAGTTTTTCAGCTGCTTTTAGAAAATATTGAATTGTAATTTGGTATTCTTAAAATAAGTATATTCTAAAAAGCATTGAATGCATATCAGAAAATTAACAAATTTTTATTTAAATTACAAAAAGAATTAATGAAAATCATATAAAATATGAAAATGAGGAATATGAAAATTTGTATTTTACATGTTTATTTGTATATATTTTAATATTTAATTTGAGTAAGATAACGAAAGATTAATAGGTGAATGAATTTTTTTTTAATATGAATCGTTTATTGTATGCAATTCATACAAAATGTTACAAAAAATAAATTATTTGCGTATATTTGTAAATGTAACTTGTCAATAATATTTTGCAATTTTATTATATGTAAATATACCTTGTATTATTAAACATATTAAAACTACAATGTCAGGTTTTGTAAATTGGCAATGAGCAAGATACTTGACATTATTTCAATTGTTGTATGGACTGCCGACTGACACATTAATACAAAATCGAATATCACACATACACAAAATAATCCTAATTATTGTATTTTATTTTGAAGCTAAATAAATATGTCATTCGGAAATATGCGTGAAATCGCTACGTACAGTGTCATTATATTTTTCGAAAATAGAAATATGAAATTGTGATTAGAAAAACTCACTCGCTAAAAATAAAATTTATTTCGTGTAACATTGGCATAACAAAATAAAGTTAAATTAACAGATCTATAAATCTTATATTTTTAGTTTGTAACCAAAAACGAGTAACTTTATCATAACTGTCGTAATGTATATGCTAATTGTATATGCTAAATTCATTATATATAATACAAAAAAATTATAGAAAATATTTTTAATATTAGAACTTTTTCAGTTCTGACAGTTTTGATTTAATAAATTGCAGCAATAGCTTACAAATCTCAAAAATATATATTAGGTGTTGGAATTAATTCGTAGCGTTTTTTAATGAAAGAATGTTATTTATTTCACATGAGCATTAAAAAATACATTAATGAAAGTACTTCCCATCACTTGTAAAACGCTACGAATTAATTCCAACACCTAATAACATGTTTAGCATTACATTCATCATATACATCAATATATATTTTACATTATACTACTAAAAGTAACACCAAACTATATGCGATTCGTGATTCGTAATAAATTTACTAATCATTTATCAATATGGATTCTATATAACGTTCGCGATTTGTGATTTATTATTTATTTATATATAAGACAGCTTATGATATGATAGAAAACCTTATTCAGCAAGATGAAAAGATATAAATTTCTCGTGGTCACAAAATCGTTCCAAATATTTCTAGAAAGAACAAATGTATAGAATTTTAGAATTTGATATTTACAAAGGGCTCAATCAATTGAGATTAAACAGAATGTTAGTAATTTTATTTTTTTTATTGATAATGACTTGACATTTAAGATATCATGTCTCCTGATAATAGCTGTTTTTAAATATGAATAGAAAATTTTTAAAATGAATAGAAACGCAGCTCATATATAATTGTACTTCATTACTATTACATTTATCGAAAATGTTGAGGCGAAGTTTTACATTTAAGAGTTTTCAATCAACACAAACTAAACTCTTGATTTATTTTAATTTCATTAAAATACCATTTTGTTAGTGACTCGACATAAATAATAAATAAATAATTACAAATTCGATGAATCTGCCTTTGAATGAAATGAATCTCTTCGAATAGCAAACTGCACATAAGGCGCTAGCTTTGAATTAACAATTTTATTATTGACAAAAACATATTTAACTTTGTAATTTACATAACTATATCAATGTGTTGTTATAATTGTATATGCTTATTTTCTTCAATTCAGATTAACAATATCTTAATTGTGGTTCAGGTTGTACCGATATAATTACCCCATCTGTAATGCGCGTTATAAGTGCTATCAAAATATCCTGATCGATGCTCTTTGATAATCGATTATAAATCTGATTTTCTACAAACTTTAGCTTCTTCTGTTGTGACAAAGAACTGTTAGTTTGCATAGTAAGAATATAAATAGCTTCTGCTACTAAAGGATTTATTCTATCGCATAAATTATGTAATGCCTTTATTGCTTCTGCATTAATATTCAATATGTCGTGAATAATCTGTAACAAATTTGTTTGATTGTACAAGTCAGTTCATATAAATAGAGTTTATATTTGAAATATATGCATACTCACCACAACTTTTTTTTTCTCTGGAGAATGTTCGTTTAATATAGTAATGATCTCACCAGCATCGTTTCCAAAATCTTTTGGATTAAATATCAGATAATTATCTGCATTTAAAATATCACTGCTCATATGTGCTAGTTTAGTAGCTAAACAATTCATTGTAGTTGTTTCCTTTGCAAACAGCAGAATTACTGAAGGTATTTTGGGAGTTCTTGATATCACTTCGTTTATAGTAGATGAAATATCACTCCAGATATCTAATTCTTGATTAGAAAATGAAGCTTTGAGGTTTTGGACTGATTTAGTTAACGATAAAGGATTATTAATGATTATAGACTGTCCTTTATTGTTATTTAAAGGTAATTTGAAAAATATTCCTACTAATACTATTAAAATAATACAGATAAAGTAGAGATTGCTGCTTGTATTCTGTTTATTCTTCTTAATATCCCTTTCATACTTTATTTTCTGTGAATGACCATCATTTCTTTCTGGAGAGATAGTTCTAGAGCGACGTAAAGATAGTGAACGATGTAAAGATGTCTTTTCGTCTTCCTCACTAGAACTTTCTGTCACTTGTGCATTTTCATAACTTTGATTTTTAAATAATTCTTCAGTTTCAGATTGATTTGATATATTTTGCTGTCTTGATATGTTTCTTTCCATTTCTGAATTTTGAGAATTGTTTAAAAAATGGTATTTGCTTGTATCTTCTGATTTTAGAGATTTTCTAGATTTGGGTTTAGATGATGTAGATGCCATTGGTGGACTGTGAATCTACAAAATAATGCATTATCTGTTACACAAGTAAAGATCAGAAATGGTCATATATAGGTTATGCCTTAGTAATGCCTTGCAATCAAATTTAATTTACCTGTAGTATCAATGTAATTCTTAACAACAATTTGTTTGTCAAATTATATTCCAAAGATAAATGTTGCATGTAGTGACAAGTGATACATGAAATTTTAATCAATATACTTTAAAGAGGCTAATAAAAAGTAGAAAGTAACATCCTAAAGAAAGTTATACATACATTGTTTGTATTTTCTGATCTTAGAGATCTTCTAGGTTTGGGTATAGATGGTATGGATGTCATTGGTGGATTGTGAATCTGCAAAATAATAACACAACACATGGAGAAGATATGAAGAGGAATCACAATCGCATGAGCGAAATGTTAGTAGAATGCCAAAATTTTCTCTATACATTTAAACAGAATACTACAAATTAACATCATTTGCATTTGCTTATATTTTATTAGCAGAAATTGATACAATTTAACAGCAAAGGAATCAAAACCGTGTGTTCAGATTTATAGTGGCAGTACTTCAAAATTTATAATATATATAACATAAATTATAAATGTCATGTATATTGGCAGTATACATATATCCAAATACAGCCTAAATAAACTATAGGTATTTTTTATTCCTGTATTGTCATATAGTGCAATAAGTTAATGGTTAACTTTTAATAAGTTTAACTTATTTTAAGTAATAATGAGTAATAATGAGTTGTAAAACTGAATCTAAATGAACCCCATGTAACTATCGGTTAACTTAACCGAGATTGGAAGAGATCCAAAATGAAACGAACATAAATTTGTTTCACCTCAACTTATTGCATCGTGTGCACCAGTTCAGAAAGTGCAGAAATAAAAAAACAGTGATGTATTTAAAATATTTAAATAATTACAAAACAGTAAATTCTGCTTGTGCCCATTTCCACCAATGTAGATTAATTTTAATCTCGGTTCAATTTACTCTTCGTCTTTTTCTAGTTCTAAAGAATAAAAATATTAATAAAAACGGACATCAGTCGGTTTCTGCAGTTAATCTATTATTACATCCTACTTGTAACTCTCGCAAGTTTTGCTACATTTTTACTGGCATTTTACCAACAAAATATGTAACGCGCATAATTAAAAAAATCTATTTTCGATAAATTTTACCATTATCTATGTAATGTAAAAGAAAAAAATCCTGCGTGTGACAGTCGAGGATTCCATACGCTTATCTCAACGAAGATGAATACGACTTCTCAGGAAAATCAATGAGTAACAATGAAATCCAAAGACATATACCTCGCATATTCCGCAGCCGGTGGCCTCATCTTCATTCATATGTTATTGTCACAGAAAGATATAACCTCATTATAACGGTCGCAGCAACTAGTTGTATCGCGAGTATCTGCGATTATCGCAAATGATCGCAAATTTTGCCGTAGAAGCGTCACTCTAGTGGCCCTAGTGCCAATATGTGAGCTAGCAACAGACTACGCGCGATTGATAAAATCGAGATTCGAGATTGGCGTTAGTTTCAGAGTGGTCACCACGCTTGATCAGCATCAGCTAGATGACGTAAGATACGTGAATGCGGCCATTGCGACAACAACTGACAGCAACGCGAGTGGCGAGACTGGCGAGACGCACGTTTGCGAGGATCCGGCTCATCCGGTTGCCGTCGTCGTCGTCGTCCTCGTCGTCATCAAATCTGAGGGCGTCAATGGACGTCCGGATGCGAATTTGAAGTTGCTATATGGTGACAACATGTGCGTTGGTCCGTTGAAGAAATTATGCCATTGGGGACCGCTCTCCTCACTCGGTATGTCTCTCAAGTCCGGATGAACTCCGATCAATCGAATGTCATCTCATCAATGAAAACATGATTGATCTCTTGTCAGCTATGTTCAAATATATAATAAGAACGATTAACTTGACTAAATTCCGATTAACTTAATTAAAGATGATTAACTTCAAAATAAAACTTTTGTATGTAGATTAATTTTTTTATTAATTTTTTGTCGTTTGATATATGAAAAGAATTATCAATAAAATTATGTAAGGAAAGTGTAAGAATCTGATGAAAGGGATAGAGGAAGTATAAGTGAGAAAATACTGCCCGACAATTGACAGTAATATGATGTTGAAAGGCTAGGAAAAATAAAATATAATAGAAGATTTTAATATAAGATTATAATAGAAGATTTTAATTTTCCTGAACAAGTGAGGAATTAAGGAAACTGAAAAAAATATTGAATGATTATAAATGAGATAATAAAAAGAAGAAACTGACAATCAAAAGCAAGGATTTTAATGTATTTAAATACAGTACATTGATGAGAGTCCAGTTATTTGTTATTAATTTATCATTGTTTATCAATTTTGAAAGTTATATAATTTATTATCTCTGAACTAATCTTTTTTGTGATGTATCAAATAACAGAAAAAGTCCATTGTTCATGTTAACGAAATATTACTTGATTAGTCAATTGAAATTTAAGTTATCTTAAAGTAGTACATGGTAGGCGTGATTTTTAAAAATTTATAGGTAATATCAAGAGATATTTTTCAGCAAGCTAGATGACAAAGTATAACATGGTGAATTATTTTATCTTTGTTTAACATTGATAAATAACAAGAATGTAACGATTTACTGTGTCACTTGTGCTTTTGGCTTGAAAGTACCCAATAGTATTATGTATATAACATATTATGTATATACTTTAATGTTCTGTTATGTTTACAAGGCTTTTGCATGATTTTTTTACACATATATAAAATGTTCAGCTCATTTTATTTGGTATTATAAATAGTATAAATTGTAATTTGGTTTGTAAGATTATCAGCGTAAAATCTTGATGGCAAGGAGACTAGTTGTAGATTGAAACTTTTGTTAATTTGTGTTGCAGCAATGATAAAGTTCATCACGTTGATGACGATACACTGTAGTAGACAATGGTGGCCACCACAAGACAGTATCCTAGCAGCTGCCAGTTTCTTACTATTCTTTATTCTCAGTGGATTGACTCTCTTCCATTTTATCAGCGCGATTGTTGAAGGACCCGGATATCTCACATTAAAATGGATGCCAGTAATATATATTACACATTTATCATTGAACCTTTTTATAAAGTGAACACTTTTTTTCACTCCTTTGCAAATAACTGAAAACTTATAAACTTAACTTCTTGTTTTCTTTTCTATTGTTTTACATTTATTTGATTACTAATAGGAACAAAAATTAAAACGAATTTATATGATTGTAATTTCAAATCAGAGTTTGACTATATTAATTTTACATTATTTAAATATTTAGATAGTAAACATGATATTGTTACGTTGGGCTTTATTATATTTAAATTAATAATAATTAATGATAAATTTATAATACAAAGCATGTAGATTTTGTCGTATTATTAATTAATATTGCATTAATATGATTCGTTTTCAGGAGAAAGCTACAGATATACAATATCTGCAATACTGTATTGTCTGTCAAGGTTACAAGGCACCGAGATCACATCATTGTAGAAAATGTAAGAAATTAAATATAATGTAATTAAAACATAAAGTAACAAGTAATAATAAATATAGATATTACTCAATATAGATATTACTTAAATATTAATACTTTTAAAAGATTTGTAAATTTGTTACTACGATGATAATATAATGTAATGATTTTGGTGCTTTTCTTATTTTGCTACTCTTGCTCGTCAATTTACTTATTGATAGAAAAACACAAAATGTAGCATACATAAAAGAATTTAAAGAACATTGTTTAATTTTCCAATACAATTCTATTTTAATTATTCTACACTTTTTTTTGTTTACTTTTTAGGTAATCGTTGCGTGATGAAAATGGATCATCACTGTCCATGGATAAATACATGCGTTGGACATTATAATCACGGACATTTCACAGCGTTTTTGGCAAGCGCAATCGGCGGTTGTTCCGTCTCTTTCATTATATTAACTTCCTGGATAACAACCGTATTATCACTGAAACCTTTGCCATTCCCACCACCAGAGTTCTATACAATAATATTAGTTGTATTTAGTATTGGTGCATCAGTTGGCGTTGTACTTGCAGTAGGAATGTTATTAAGTGTCCAGGTAAATGTTTTTAATACTCTTATATCCAATTGATGCGTTAATTGTATAATTTTTCAAATTGCATAGATATTAGCCATCTTGAGAAATCGAACAGAAATAGAAGATTGGATTCTGCAGAAGTCCCAATGTTGGCGAAATGATACAGATGCCAAATATATACATCCATATTCAAAAGGATGGCTTTTCAATATTAGTCAAGTTCTTACATGGGATTGTACTCCCGTCGGCGATGGTATTACGTGGCCAGTTATTGATGGCTGTGATCAATATACATTAACGGTAATTTTATTTAATTAATAATATGTCACATAATAATTCTACAATAATTATTTATTTAAAAACATATATGACAAAAATTTACATAAATATCGCTCTTACGCGTATATTATTAACTCATAGAAACTGTAATTATAATAATATGCTAATTATTATTTTGCAGAGAGAACAGCTTGCTCAAAAATTAGATAAACGGAAAAAAGCACGCATATATAGGATTGTAAAAGCTGCATCAGGATCTAAATTTCCAATTGGACATGGTTTTGGCGTATTTTTTCATCCACTTTGTACTGATGAATCTCGCATTAAGTTGGATGTAAATGATATTGTAATTGTAACACGTTGGAAGAAGTATGTATTTTGTATATGATATTGAATTATTGAAAATTAATTTTTTAATTAAATAATTTGCTAATTTACGAAACATTTTTATACTTTTTTTTGCAGATATTGGTTATTTGGACGAAAAGAACAGAAGGAAGAAGAAGATGGAAAATCGAAATGTATAAGGGGATGGTTTCCACGGCCCTGTGCGGTGGAAGTAATAGAAAAATCTGTACGGCTTGGATAATTTGTCCAAAATAATTTATTAATTTTAGAAAATTTATGTGACAACATTTGTGAAGATTTAAGAAACAATTTATAATAATTTTGCATTTTTTAATAGTAAAAGCTGAGAAGAATAAGATAGAAGAACATTACACTCCATACCTATTTGTGTTCAAATTAATATATTTTTCTTGTATTTATACCTCAAACCAATCAATAGATTAAGATATATTATCCTACTATTAATATATGTGTCCTATATTATAACATTTATTGCATATAAATAAGTAAAACTATTGTATATAAATTTTTTTACTTATACTTTTAAGATACTTTGATGAGTTCTTATATAGCGTGACAGTTTTGTTGTACAATATACATGTAATTATATACGTATTTATACATATAATTTAATAATTGTATACATATATATAATAATTATTTAAAAATGACATGTAAATATAATCTATATCAACAAACTTACTTTAATTAGAAAAATATTATTCTAATTAAAAATATTTTGAATTATTAAAACGTAAGTTTTTTTATCAACTTTTTATAAGAAAAAACACGTATTGCAAGAATTTGTACATGTTTTAAAATAACAGAAAAGATATTTGTAAACCAACGAATACAATAAATAAATTTGATGTGATTTGTGATGTGATTACGAAGTAATCTGAAAAAAGTATTCCCAGCGTGTATACAACCGAGACGGTCTGAAAAGGCCGTGGAAAATCAATAATATAGTGTGAAAAGTCGCATTGACTGAGTGAACTCTATACGTGTCAGAATACATGTACAGTGAATACAAAAAGTATTCATACAGAGAAAATATTTTTTAAAAAACTATTTTAAAACATTAAATATTATCCAGCGCGAAATGAATCATCGAATTGATGTCGAATCAATATCGATAAGATAATTTCGACACCAATTTGACGGCGATTCGACGTTTAATTGATCATTTTTTGCTGGGTAATTAACAATTTATTCATAAAGTATAAAATAGACTGTATGTTTCTTAAAATTATATATACCAAAAAGATGTATATTAATTATAGAAAATATATCATCTGAAAAATAAGCGAAAATTAAAAGTTCCATTGTTTGGGTACTCAAAAAGTATTCGTACAATCGAGAAATTTAGCTCATAATATCAGAAATACATGCGAAGCTCATTTGTATATGTTAGAACAAAATGTATTTACTATATAAAATTGCTAATTAATGTTTATTTTCTACAAATAAGACTTTTTTTATAAAAAATTTCCTTGTACGAATACTTTTTGCTCTCACTGTATGTGTAACGCGCGCACGCTTTTGCATTATTCGTTCGAAGAGTTTAACATGCGATTGCTTTGCACGACTGCAGAACATTTTATTCTATTATTATTATTTTATACTCATCTCAATCGAATGCGTAATGTTAGACGTATAATAATCGATGAATGAGTGTGTAGCACACAAAGGAAATTATTGCGTAAGGGTCAATGTTACAATTCTTGTGTAATGCAAGCCGCGAATATCACGTGCGTATCAATTGTATGCACAACGTATATTTAATAATCGATAGTGAAAGGATCGTACTGACAATTCGCGAAATATGTAATCAAATGTAATGTGCAACAACTCAATTTGCTGTAAATGAATACATTGTGACAAATGGATAAAAATATGAGATGCCATAGAACTTTAAAATTTCTTATCTTCCTTATCAACAGGAACTGCATACATTGCTTTGTCGAAATATATAAATATTTGTCGATGTTCTTGAACTCCTTTTTATAATTTTATCTATTTTATTTAATTGATATGAATATGGATTCCTTTCATCCATTCACTCCAGATCTTGGAAATTAATATTCATATATATTCTTTTGCGAAGTTTAAAAATATAAATGAAAGAACAAGATTAATTAGAATACAGAAGGAAATAGCTTTATAACGAGTAAATAATTTGCGTGCGTGCGTGCGTGCGTGCGTGCGTGCGTGCGTGTGTGTGTGTGTGTGTGTGTGTGTGTGTGTGATAATAATTATATAATGAAGATTAAAGGCTGTCGTGCATGATAAAAAGCAATGCAAATAGCGTGATGCACATAGATATCCAAGAGTGTACTATATTACACAATAAGCGTATCTTTTATTTTGATTTTCATTTTGTATTATTTAAATTAACTAATTTACGAATAAAAGAATCAATTATGATAAAATTATTAATCTCATAGAAAGATAGTTTTAAATTAAAAATAAAATTCACGTATATATTTACATTAATTATATACATATTTTTTAGAATGAATAGCTTTATAAAAACATTTCACTTTAATTTAAAATTATTTTTTAGATCTTCTTTCTTTCTTCTTTTTTATAAAGAGAATTTTAATGGCTGATTCAATTACGTACTTATTTAATATTCCAAAATTAAAATGAATTGCAGAAGTATTTAGGAGTATAAAATAACCGAAGTGTATTCCTGTAATTTGTAATGAATTTTATTAATTAAAAAATATTTAAGAAAACAAGAAAATAAACAATTTTATTATAGACTTACATGTATATAATTGCAATAAAAAAAAAATAATAATGACACGCTGTTTTCCGACCAATCAGAAGAGATCAATTTTATACGTACATATAATTGATGAAAATAGTAGTAGTTACATCATGTATCGTTATGTGACATGTAAAAGGAAATACATATATAATTACTATTTACGGCAGTACGTGATTTCTATGTGTAAATCGTAGATATTCTCCTAAACGAACGAAGAGTGGAACCGGTTGTAGGATTGACGAAGGAAGTGAAAGTGAAGGATCAATTTAGTAAACGCAAGTACGCGGCTTTGTGATCCTGTGGTGGGATCCTACTAACGTTTGGCTTGCCAGCAATCAATCGAATGCTGCAGTTTCTTACGTGCGGATCTATCACGAGCACGAAATATCTTTTTATCCTTACTTGTCGTGTAAACAGCTAACTATTTCGAGTAAGTCTCTGTAAATTTATCGCGCGAAGCTATTTAATTTATCGCTTGCATAAAGAAGTGATTGCTTCCGACTATCTCTTCGCGGTATTACCGGCATTTATCTTTTCCAATCAGATTAATTTGTATCAAACTTGCCCTAAATAGTATCTTGTTATGAATTTTTTTATTGTTTCAAATTAGTAATTTATGTATTAGAACTTTATTACTATTATACTATTTCCTGAAATTAGTCATGTATAAAAAATTATAAAATTAATCAACAATGATTTAAATTTCAGATGGTTAACTTGATATTATTTATCTATAAACTACTTTTATATATTAGCTATATATATTTATTTCTATTACTCTATAATATTTATTTTTACTCTTATTTAAATTGTGGAGGCATTTTTCAAATAAAAATATTATTGGATTTGCGAAAAAACGATTGGAAATAATTTAAAAATCATTCAAATTTAATATTGCACATATTCTATTCGTTTCTTCATTAATCCAATAATATTTTTTCATAAGGGGGTGAACGCTAGAAATGATATTAATATAAATGTAAATACAAAACGCATTATAATTAAAACAAATTATTTGAGCACTCAATATAATATAATGTATCTGCATAAGTTAATTACGAATATTAAACATTCCGCTCATCCTCAGAAATAAAAGTATTAATAAAATTTTTTTGCATGTATCTCTCGCATCATGGAATGAAGGAAGCGACGCGATCAAGATGCATCTTGCCGGACACGTTAAGATTTTATTCACACTCGTCCTCTTCTCGTCGATTTCCGTTTTCGGATTTCCAGACGGTGGGCCGGTGGACGCGTGCGTGAAGCCACGACCTAATCAACCTTATCATGGTGAAGCACGGTCACAACCCTTAAGCACGAGCCCTTACAAGATACTGGCTTCGTCGTCGCAGTACGAACCAGGTTCACAGATCACAGGTGAGCCAAATGCGCACGGCGCTTATATAATATTATTAAACATCATTTGGGTATTCTGAGTTAATTTCTTGCTACGCAAAACAAATGACATTTTTATTAATTAAGTTTAGAGTACCTCCGAGCGAGAGATGCTCTGCAATATAGGCTAGAATAATAATTTTATGATTAATTTTATATTTCGGAGTACACTTGAATCTATACGGTTAATATCGTCTGAGATAATGCTAATAAGATAAAAGGACACTACATGTATAGGACGAGAAGAAGCTATTGAAAGTGTTGAAACTGAATATTTTATAATAAATTAACGGAACGAGAGGGTTAAATTAAACGTTACTCTATAAAATCTTAGTATATGGTGCAAAAAATATATCTATATTTATAAACAAGTAAAAATAAATATAAAAAGTATCAAAAAATTGATTACAGTTGCATGGCTTAACGATATATGTATGGAAGATTTCGATATGTGAATAATTATCTTTATGAAAAAGATTTACTTGAAATTCTTCTAAGGTAGTTATAATTATTAAATTTAAATTAGAAAACGTATTTAATAGTTTTAAAAACACTATAATTGTAACGTAAGTTCAGATCGTCATTATTCCAAAAACATTAATTACTGCATACAACTATATATATCTATATTATTCAATATTTCTTATGATATTTATTTTTATAAATGTATACGTGTATAAACGATTGTTTATAGTGTAATATTTAATTCATTTTATTCTACTCATTACAAAATAACTGTAATTTAGTTTCAATAACTTTTCAATTGTTTTCTTAATTAATACATTAAAAAAAAAGAAAAAAGAAATATTGCTAATATCTTGCAATGAGCATAATTAAAAAAATATAATTTCTAAAATACGATAAATTAAAATAATTATTTTGTAAAAGAAAAACAAGACAATGCAATCGTAAAGCGAAATTAATTTCTGTTTTCTGTTTTCCTTTCTATTGTTCGCTTAATTGTTACTTATATAGCATTTAGTAGTTCGCTTTATTTTGCGTCAAAGAAGTATGTATTTTGTCCGATACATGAGATAATTGGATTCATCAAAATTAGAATTGCGAAATGTGTTAAATATATGTAACAACGTACTCCGGTCAGTTTCGTTGATGAACACGTCTGCGCTTGTGGAGCAATGGCGAATTAGTCTACAAGAGGGATAAGTACACCCGTTAATTTTCGAGCATGCGAACAGTTTCCTTACGTCGATTACGCATGATTAAACGTAGATGTCATTTATCCACGGAGGAAGGTTGAAATGAAAGTCTGAAATCT